ATGTGCCCTGACTGGCAATTGAACCCATGACCCTTTGGTTCACAGGCCCCACCAGCCAGGGCTCATGTACAAGATTTTGATAGGATGTGTTCTCATTTCTCTTGGTAGATATCTAGAAGGGGATTGGGGGGGGTCGTATGCAAACACTATATATGAGAGACCCTTTAACTTAGCTTCCCAGATCCTGGGGTCCCATCTGGCTGCCAGTTCCCTGACTTCTATGAGGCCATTCCCAGAGACCAGGCCCAAACACACCAAGCAAACCATCTTGGGAGCCTGGTTCCATCAATGTGCTCTGGTTCCACTCTTCTTGGCCAACTCCTGCAGGCAGCATGCAGCGCCGGTGCCCTGACCCAGGACCCTAGGCCCTCACTGGAACCCCATGATTTCTTGGCATTAGCTGAATCTCAAACTCTGGAACCAGAGAGTAGTGGCCTGGAAACTCCAGTGAAAGCCCAATCAACTGTTAGTGTTGAATGATGTTAACAAATGTTTACACCCCTGACACATCGGTGGGGCGTGTCTCCTCTGGTTGGGTAGGGCCATGTGACTTGTTTTGGCCCATGAGCAGTGAGCAGAAACATGGCGTCATTTCCAGGCCAGAGTACTTCATTGCTGGTGCGAGGGCTCCCAGGGGTTGCTTTCCTCTGCTGCAGTGACCTGAACCACTTCAGAGAGTGGCTGCTTCATCACTCTGGTGCAGTGGGGCACATGAGAAATAATCCCTAGATGACCTGTAGTGGGTATATCCTGAGGGCAGGAAATTAATTTTGCGTTGTTTTAGGCCTCCAAGACTTTGGACCCCCTTGTTACAGCAGCACCGTGTAACTCATCCTGACTGATAGTCGACCCACCCACATCACGGCACCGGGCTCCAGCCAAGGGCTCTACATCAGTTGGCTGGGGCTGCCTCAACAAAGGACCACAGACTAGGGGCTTGAACGACGGGAATGTGTGGTCTCGCAGTCCTGGAGGCTGAAGCCTGAAGTCAGGCAGTTGACAGGCCTGGTTTCTCCTGAGGCCGAGACGGCCCCTGGTCCTAGGAGCTGGTGGTCCGGCCTTCCGTGGCTTGTGGATGATGTGCTCCCTGTGTCTTCATATTGTCTTTCCTCTGTGTGTGCGTGTGTCTCAGTTTCTTCTATGTATCAGAACAGCAGCTGTAGTGGATCACCCCACCCCAAAGACCCCATTTTAACTTCTTTATCTCTGTAAGGACCCTGTCTCCATATAGAGTCACATTCTGAGTGCTGGGGTCAAGACTTTCACATGTAAATTGAGGGGCCCAATTCAGGCCCTGACCGACTCCATTCCAACCAACTCCAAGGTGCTGGGGGCCCATCCGTCCAGGACGAGTGAGAAGGCAAGGGTGGTTGACGAGAGCCTCAGCTGGCGAGACTTGGGACACCTTAGCAGTAGGTTCTAGGGACTCCCAGGCCCATGGGGGACTTCTTCCCTGAAGGTCAAGTGCTGCTCCCAGGACTGCAGCCTGCAGTGGGGACCTTGACAGACCCATTTCCCGGGGAAACAGCACGGGGCTGGGGGGGGGGTAAGCCTAACATGACCCCTGACTCCATCACTCAGCTGTGCAACTGCGATGCGTCTCTGAGCCTCAGTTGGCTCCTCTACAGGACCATACTGTGCTCTCCATAGAGTTACTGTGAGGAACCAGAGAGAATAAATATGCCCGCCATGCGGTAATCTTGCCATAAATTAATCACTGTTGTTGTTGCTCCTGGCAGTGTTTATACATGAATGAAGGAAAGGGAACATTACGTGGTTTCAGTGCGGGACTTTGAAATTTCTCGAGAGTGGGAGACGTCTCAGGCATCTTCGCTTCATTTTGGGGCTTCATCCCATTCAACAAACATTCATTGAGCACCTACTGAGAGCCAAGGGCTTTTCTGTGAAGGTTTCTCCCGTGGGGAAACACACGCTGGAGCATGTTGGGTAGAGATGAACACATAAAACGATGGTGGAGAATGACTCACAGGCAAGGAGAGAGAGGGTCAGGGGGACGTGTCGGTGGCCTCGGGGTCTGAAGATGCCATATTTGAGGCGTGAACCTGCGGCGTTCGGGGAACAGAGAGGATGTTGATGCAGTTGGAACGACATGAGTGGGGGTGGGCGGAGACGCTGGCGGGTAAGTGGGGGGCTGAACTTCCGGCCCCTCCAAACCTGGAGGGGGCAGGGCTGTGGGGTTTTGGAGGGGCACACAGAAAGGGGGGCCCGGCAGCACCCCACCAAGGGTCCTTGCTGCCCATGGTGCTGGCCTCCTGAGACCAGGTTCCCAGAGGGAGAAGTCCTGGCTCACCGTTCTGCCCTCCAGAACTGAGGGTGAGTGTGCACTGTTATTGAGACCACCAAGAAGCTCACTCAGGAGCCAAACCTCGAGAAGCCAAGTCTTTTGCTCGCAGAATTTGGAAGAAATGGGAATTCACATCAGGTGGTGTAACTCCCGGCCAGTGCTTCCTGTGGCCTCACCGCTCCAGTGATCCTTCCCCCGGTTCATGGGGCGAACCTGTGTCCCCCGCCCCCACCTGAGATCACTTGCTGAAGCCCTAATCCCCAGGACCGCAGAAAGAGTGCACTCTACCTCTGCGGGTGGGGTGTTTAAGGAGGCAGTGAAGAATGAACCTAGGCCCCGGCTGAGTGGCCCAGGAGCACTGGCCCATGCACTGAGAGGCTGCAGGTTCAATCCCCCATCAGGGCTCACAGCTAGGTGGTGAAGCTAAGCCCCAGTTGGGGCGCACACAGGAGGCAGTGGATCAATGTTTCCCTCTCGTGGTGAAATTTCGCTCTCTCTCTCAAATCAATTTTTAAAAACTACTCTCAGGTGAGGACTTCAGGAAAAACGAGCCTGTTGTGGCGGGCCCTCCCTGACTCAGCGTGACTGGCGTTCTTTCGAGACACAGGCGGTGGCACACCCGAGGCCCTCGGGCTGAATCCGGCCCCCCACCTAGTCTCCACCTGGTGGCAGCCCTGAGCTTTTTGCCCTAGTTAAGCAGTTGCAGTTACACAGCCCTAACCTTACATTCCGCCCTTTGCAGACAACACAAGGCTGAGGTGGCCCTGGTAAGGGCGAGTTCAACACCCGTTAGGAGAGGTTCAGACGTGGGCAGCAGAACGGGAAGACCCTGGAGGACACAGGGAGACAACGGCATCGACAAGCCAAGAAGAAACCCGCCCTGCAGGCACCTCGGGCCTGGACTCCCAGCCTCCAGAGCAGTGAGGTGTGTCTGTGAAGCCCCAGACCTGTGGCACTTGGTTACGGCAGCCCCAGCAAACGAACATACCTGGGGCATCGGGACGCTCCCGCCCCTCTCCAGCTCAGCCCAAGCCTCCCTGAAGAGTAGCAGACCCAAACCTGGAGTCACCAGAATTAGGAAGCCCAACCTACCCCAGCATGATTCAATTGCTGAGTTATTTCATGGTCAGGAGGGGAGTTCAGAGGAACATGTAGAGTCAGCAGCTGCACACAGTAGGACTGACACATGACCCCAGGGCCATTCTTACATGTCACATTCTCCCTGAACCTCATCTGTCCACACAGCATCCACCTCTGCCATTGTCCCGACACCTCCAGGCTTGTTCCAGAATTCTCTCCTGTGTCTATCCCTCAAGGTCGCAGGCCCCACCACCACCTGCCCCAGCAGCCCCTTTGGCTCCTCACACTCATGGAGTTCTAAATGCAGCCCAGCATCTCCCCTGCTCCCGTGTGCCCCGTAGAGATGCCCCGTCACCTATGCTAAGCTCCCCTTACCCTCCTTGGCAGCTTCAGCCCTGCCCACGCATCTCTATGTTCTGCTGGGGATTTTAATTTATTTTTAAAGATATTTTATTTATTTATTTTTAGAGAGAGGGGAAGGGAAGGAGAAAGAGTGGGAGAGAAACATCAGTGTGTGGTTGCCTCTCATGTGTCCCCTACTAGGGAACTGGCTGTAACCCAGGAATGTGCCCTGACAAACCAGCAACCCTTTGCTTCACAGGCCCGTGCTCAATCCACTGAGCTACACCAATCAGGGCTTCTGCTGGGTTTTTTTAGAGAAGGGGGCGGGGAGAGAGAGAAACATCAGTTTGTTGCTCCGCCTGTTTGTGTATCATTGGTTCATTCTCGCGTGTCCTGAATGGGGACTAAACCCGCAGCCTTGGGTATTGGGACGACGCTCTAACCAACTGAGCCCCCTGGCCATTTTATTGTAAATGTTTCTTGGGCATTGTCCCTTCACTGTCTCCATGCCTGCCTCCCTCAGTTAGGCCTCATCCTCGCTCTCTGGTCCCCAGCCTCCAGCCTTGCCCTGTCCATTCCGCCCCTTTCTGGGAGCGAAGTCCAGTAACAGAAGCACCTGACAAGGCCAGCACCAGCGGCCTCCCCACCTCATAGGTGAAGCGGTTGAGGCCCCGGGAGCTCGGGTAGGGAGCCCAGGGCCACCGGTGGAGGCCAGGCAGGGCTTTCGCACCAGGCAGGCTGGCCCCACAGCCTTGTGCTTTTGCCCAGCTTGCCAGCCAGCACAGCGAGCGAGGGTGCACGCAGGGACGGCTCACCCTGTGACCTCTGCTAAGCACACAGGAGGGGCAGTGCCCAGGGGCCTCAGAGAGTTGGGCCGTTGCGCCTGGTGCCTGCATACGTGTGTGTGCACATGGTTTTCCAGGAGCCAGACTCAGCAGTGTGCACGGCAGAGATGCACAGAAAACTTGGGGGTGCTCGCACACTGGAGGGCCAGCCCAGCGACCGGGGCTATGGAACCTAAAAGGGGACCTGCGTGGTGCTGCAATGGCACCAGGGGTCTCCAGGATCCCCAAGGGCTGCACGTGGCATCGGGAGGCTCTGTGGTCCGACCCCAGCGCACAGTGGGACTACAGGTGAGCTCTGGGAGGGCACTCAGTCTGCAGAGCTCAGTTTGAGGCGGGTGCAAGGGTGACTGGGAGAAGGTCCTGCCCGTCATCCTGAGCACGAAGGTGGGGTGAGCTGCCCCCACACCCACAGATGACACAGACCCACCTCCAGGGGGGAGGTTTATTGGGAGGGGCTTTCCAGGGTCATCAGTGCACAGTCCAGTGTGTGGGCCCGGGAGGTCGCGGGCATAGCAGCGAGTAGAGGGGGAGCCAGCTCTGGGGGCCCCCCTGCAGGTCCTCAGGCCTCCGCAGCCGCGCCGGGAGGGTCCTGTGGCAGACAGTGCCGGTGCCTGAGAACCGACTTTTCCTCCTCCTGTGGGAGCAGGGGTGCCACACACACGTCACACAAACAGGAGCCCGGTTAGTGTCCCCTGGCATGCATCTGCTGTGTCACCCCACACTGCGGAGGCCCGGGCACCCCTCTCACCATCTCTGAGGCGGTGCTGGGGCTGGCGCCCTCGGGCGAGCCCCCTTCGTCCCGGGAGCAGTCTGGGCCCGCGTCCTCCTCATACTCGGTCAGGCAGTCTGACTCCTCCCCTGGAAGCCGGGCATCGGTGTAAAGGTGGGCGGGCACAGCCACTCTGGCACTTCCAGCCCCACCCTACCAACCTCAGGCCACCTGCCCTGAGGGAGCCCTCACCATCTGCACAGCCATCAGAAACGTAGCTGGTGGGAGGCTCGATCCGGGACACAATCTCCGCCAAGTCCGTGAAGCCAGAGCTGGGGAAGGCCAGGACCTACGGGTGGCATGGGGTCAGCGAAACCCAGGGAGGTGTGGGGTCACCGAGGTCTGGGAGAAACACGGTGGGGGGATCCCCAGCTTACGTCGGCGCGGCGGCTCTCGATGAGGTCCGCAGACCTCCGGTCCGTGAGCATCTTCTCAATGACATCGCCCCGGCTCCAGCCCCCAAACACAGCCTTCCCGTACTGGTAGCCAACATCCTGCAGGAAGCGAGGGACGGAGGCCACCCGTGCTGTAACTCCCAATCTGTTCTCCACCTCGTCCTCTGCTTAGTCCTGTTGCCTGCCCCTTCCCTGGCCCCTCAAAAGCCTGATGCTTTGAGGGAGCTGGCATTGAACACTAACCCTATTTCACTGACAGACGTATGTGGCACACTCACCCCCATTCTGTGCACCTGCCAGACATTACTAGTCGCCCTGTATTCTTTCCCACTCAACCCATGCTGTGTGCCAAGCACCCAATGACCCAAGATGGTGGTGAGCAACCTCAGTCCAAGTTTTCCAAACATGCAGTGCACCTGTGCATGTGGCCACCACCCACGCCCATGAGAGACATCACTGATCCATCAGGGCATGCTTTCCCAGTTAGCCCTGTGACAGCACCAGACATTCCTTGCACAGGGCTCTGGGCAGCAGCTGGTGGTCCATTTCAGGTGGCACAGGTCATGCACAGTTTCCGGGGTCAGTGGCACATACACCCTGCTCCATTCCATCCCTCACTGACTTGCGGCAGACATTACTAGTTGATCACTGTTCCCATTTCCACAAATGCAGAAATCTCTACACAGTGCTTCAGGCAGTGAAGCTGGCACATAAGCAGCTTAGATGCTATCCAGCACATGAACATCACATTCCTTTGCAGCACTCAAGGCAGACATCACTAACCGATTACTGCTTTACTCCCTACAGAGCCCATTTGGGAACGGAGCCCTAGAACCCTTCCCCTCATGTTGCTCTGGGCTTTCAGTAGTAAAGCTCTGCCAGCCCCCCCAAGCCGACACAAGGCCACTCCCACCCACTCACATAGATCTGGTCAAACTTCCCAAAGTCCATGGTCTTGAAGCAGTCAATGGGGGGGCGCAGGTACTCGCAGTAGGAGCTGGACTTGACGATCTCTAGCTGCCGTACGCAGGACACGTAGGCCAGGCGCGACTGGATCTCGGCCATGTCTGGAACCTTGATCTTGTCGGCCCAGGGGTTTAGCCGCTTCCACAGCAGCCACCAGCCAGACAGGCTGTCTCCGTAAGTGCTGAGGTCTGTCTCGTCCTGGCTCCCCACGTCAATGGCAATGACCGTCTTGGCACCCATGCTACGGGCGATGTCCGCTGTGGGGCCGGCAGGTCAGCAGGCAGCCACCCACCAGGGCCCGGAGCAGGAAAGTTCAACCCAGTCCCACAGACACCATCATGCAAATGGTCACGCCAAACAACCCATACAAACAACATGCCAGCATGCAAATGGCATGGAAACTGATGCCAATGATGCGGAGGAGGTGGGGCAGATGTCGGGACTTTTGGGAGAGGAGCCACGGCCACAGGGACGGAGGAGACACAAGCAGAGGGACCAAGGCGCTGGGGAAAGACGTGTGGAAGGAGAGTGACGCACAGAGACAGAGAGTCACAAGGACACACGGCGACAGGGGGAGATACAGGGGGACCGAGGGGTAAGAAAACCGAGAAACACAGAGGTTACAGAGAGCAGGAGACAGAGCCACAGGGAGAGAAATGCGGGGGAACAGAGTTAGCAAGAGATCTGGGGGGGGAGAGATCAAAGATCGGAGGTGTGGAAGGAGGGAGTGAAGTAGAAAGAGGGACCTGGGGGCTGTGACAAGGGACAGAGAGCCAAGAGCAGGGACAAAGAGGAGGAAGGCAGGGCAGAGTAGGTGAGGGGGGGACCCAGTGGGACGGTGGGGTGTCCCTGGGTCCGTGCAACCCACTGAGGGTCACTGAGTGGGTTGGGGGGACAGGGACAGGGTTCCACAACCAGGCCCCAGAAAACACCGAGTCTCTGTCGGGCTTTGCGTGCGTCCCTCATGAGCTCGCCTGTACATATGGGTGCACATGCACGTGTCCACATGTCTGTGGGCATGTGTGTCTGTCACCTGTGTGTGTCTCCTGTCCATGTGTGCTTGTGGACACAGACACCCCGGGGGCACCCATATCTCCGTGCACAGCCCCGGGCACGTTTGTGTCACTTCAGTCTTCGTGTCCCTAGGCCAACGTCTGTTTTCTCGGGCGTCCAAACATGCCCACCCCCCAAGTGTGCACACACGCAGGTGTGTGGCTGTGTCAGTGCAGGTGTGTGCACAGAGCAGCTACACCGTGGTTGGCAAATTTTCTCTGGAAAGGGCCAGAGAACAAATAATTTCAGCCTTGCAGGCCACGCAGTTCCTGTCACACTACTCAGCTGCCACTACGGCACGACAGCAGCCCCAGACAGTGAGTAAATGACTGGGTGTGACTGCGTATCAGTAAAACTTTATTCACAAAGTCAGGTCAGGTCTGGCTTTGGCCTGCAGGGCAGAGTTTGTCAACCCCTGGCCTACGGGCTGCCTGTGTGTGTGCAACCAGCAGACGTAACTACTTATGTGTGCACGCACACTCTGGGAGTGCACGACTAAGTTGCACACCAGCCCACCTCCCATCTGCACCCAAGTCAGAGGGTGTGAAAGGAAGTTTAACATGCGCTTGGAGGTGCCCCACGATCTCTGTGTGCACACGTATGCACATCTCAGGAAGCACTGCAGGGTGAGTGTGGGTAGATGGGCACGTGAGGACACATACCTGACTTCACCCCTGTGTGTGTCTGCACCTGTGCACGTCCACCTGCCCTGTGGCCACACGAGTGCCCTAGCTGCCGTCTGAGCGCCTGTGCTGCTGCCATGCACGGATGCGGGCGCCCCGTCCTGTCCCCACGCCCCGCGCTGGGTGCCGTCTGTGACGCCTGCCTGCGTCTTCCACGGGAGTGTGTTCCCAAACTGCACGCCCCACCCGTGGCTCACACACGCATCTGTGTGTGCCCCCAGTTCTGCACGGGTCTGCTTTCACACGTGTTCTCGGGGGCGCCTGCCTGCTCTGTGCCTGTGCAAGGCCCCTCACTCCCTGTGTGCGTGCACGTGTGTGCACACGCGTGAGCGGGCAGCCACTTGCCTGGCAGGTTGTTGGTGTAGCCGCCGTCCATGAGCAGGTGCCCGTCCTTGGGGTCGCACAGCGGGGGCAGGTAGCCCGAGAGCGTCATGCTGGCGCGCACGTACCGCCACAGGGAGCCTGCCCGGCGGGACACACAGACACAGACACGCACGGACACGCTCAGACACGCTCCGAGGCCCGGCCAGCCCCGCAGGCTTGCTGACCTGGCAGGTTGTTGACGTAGCACCCGTCCACCAGCAGGTGCCCGTCCTTGGGGTCGCACAGCGGGGGCAGGTAGGGGCAGTAGGAGGCGCTGGCCCGGACGTAGCGCCACACGCAGCCTGCGGGGACGGCGTGAGGGGATGAGGCGTCCAACTAGCCTCCAGGGCCCCACCCCTGAGGACAGACATACCTGGGACCTCTAGGGCATTAGTAGGTGATGGTTAGTGCTCGGCAATCAGGTCGGGACGGACGGTCACTCGTGTTAACAGTGTGCCAGATGCTTGGCTGCCCACCCGCCTCCCCTCCCCGCGCAGCCCCAGTGGGGACGGTGGGGGCAGCCAGGGCACCCACCATCTTTGTGAACACGCATGGCTGAGGCAGTGATGTCTGTAGTCACATTGAAGTACGGCAGCCACAAGTCCTATGGGGACAAGGACCAATGTAGGGAAGAGGGGGGACACCTGTGAGGAGGGGTAGGGACAGAGCGGGTTGGGGGAAGGCACACCTCAATCTGCTTGTCCTGGAAGACACGGTGGATGCTGCGGTTGAAGGCTGACCCCGTGAACATGGATGTGACGGGGTATGTGAGGTCCAGCACAGGCTCCAGCACCGAGGTCATGCTCTAGGGGCAAGGGGCGAGCTGGGCTGAAACAGGAACCACTCAGGGTCCCAACAAGTGGTCGCTAAGAAGACTGACTGCTTGAGCTGGGAAATGGAACTAGGATCGTTAGCCACAAGGTGACAAGGGGTCACCTTATGTCTATGAGGGTCCACAAATTAAATCAGAAAAAGGCCAGAAAAAATCCAGAAACCCCCATGTGGTCAAGTTTTAGGGTGCTCCTGGGGTGGGGAGGTCCCCAATACACACCTTGGCCCACTCCCGGGCCCGCTGTTTAGTGCGGCTGGCGCTTCGCTCTTCCGCGTAAAGGGCCCCAATGAAGGAGCCAATAGAGGTACCGCCCACTAGGTCGACAGGGACCCCTGCCTCCTCTAATGCTTTCAGCACCCCAATGTGTGAGCAGCCCCTGCAAGTAGGAGACCAGTGACCCACTGAGAATACTAGTTGTACGCCCAATGGAGACCCTTCTCTGATCTCCCATGGGCCAAGAACCAGTTGTCCTCCCTAACCCCCCCCCCCCCCCCCGTGAGAATCTCATTCATGGCATAAGCTCCACCCCTCAGGCACCAACCCCGCCCCTTCGAGGGCTAGCCACACCCCTCACCTGGCCCCACCTCCACCTAGTACCAGAGCGATGGTGTTGCCAGTGAGCACCCGCGCCAGGCGGGAGAAATCGCTGTGCCGGTCTGCGCGCCTGGAGAACACCTTCTCATACAGTTCATGCTGGGATGGAAAGGCAGAGAGACCCATGAGGATGGGGGTGTAGAAGGCAGCATCTGGATCTGCAGGCTGGAGCTTGCAGGTCCCTAAGCCACGCCCCCTAGTAGCCACACCCTCCAGTAACCAAGCTCCCAAAAGGTCTGGCAAGGGGGCCTTTTCTTTGGATCCCGCCCTCACCAGCTTGGCTGGGCTGCGGCGCGAGAAGAGGCGGCGGGGACAGCGCAGGTGCAGGTGTCCTGAGCACCAGCTGCGCATGTTGAGCCACTCCACAGTGCGCGTGGGGCCTGCACCCTCCTCGCGGTGCAGCAAGACAAGCTGCTTGAGGGCGCGCACCGCGGTATTTTCCAGCATCTGCTCCAGCTGCAGGGGAGAGGAGGGTGGGTGTCACCAATTGCCAGTTGTTTCTTCCTTGCCTAACGCCCAATGCCCATGGCTGAGCATGAGTCCCTAGGGCTTTGCCTAGCCCCACATTGAGGGTGGACGTGGCCTGGCACAGGGCCTGGATGGGGTGACGGGTCCCATGAGGGGGGTCGCTGTGCAGAGTCTCCAGACCTGGCCAAGCGTGGGCTCCTGGTCGCCCAGGCCCACCATGAGAATGCAGTCCGCCTGGCGCAGGCAGCGCAGGGTCCAGGGCGTCAGGGATGGGTCTGTCTGGTAGAGCACGATGCGGTGGGTGTCCTCCTGCTGGGCCAGCCACCCCGACAGCCGAAACTCTTGGATGCTGGGGTTGGGGTGGGGTAGGAGAGAGTCACCCTGGGACTGATCTCCAGTCACTTGCACCCAGAGAGCATCGCAGCTCCACTGCTGGGGGGAGGGGCTTAGACACCCAGGCTCCCTTGACACAGCTCCCCCAGGGGAGGATTCATCCCGCTGCCTCAAGAGGTGGGGAGCGTGCCCCCCAACTCACAACCTAGACCTGAAACTGGATCTGAAAAAATCCTATGCTTCAAGCTCACCCCTTGCACCCCCCACCCCTCTGCACCCCAACACACACCTGTCCAGTGCAGAGGCACCCAGGCGTGCCCGGATGATGTCACTGTTGAGGAGGAGTGTGGGGCCTGGGGATGGGTGAGGAAGGGGGGTTAGGAACCCAGGTCCGCAGAGCTGGGGGCCTCTCCCAGAAGAGAATACCCCTGCCCCACCCCCTGTGGAACTGCCAGGCAACCCCGCTCATGGCCAATGCCCACCCACATGCCCTGCGGAGGCCAGAGGTCGGCCTCCACCCACACCCCTTCTACCGACTGACCGATGGCTTGCAGAGCGTGCTGCAGCTCAAGTGTGAAGGCCACCATGGGCACCTCGGCACACACAGGCAGGACCGCCACCGTGGCCAGGTTGCTGGCTGGGTTGGTGAGTTCCGAGTGAGGGGGGACACCTAGTCCCGAGCCTGCTGAGACCCCAAAGGATGAAATCTGCTGTACAGTCCTGTGTCCAGAGAGGGAGACCCTCTCTTCCTCAGAAATCCCAACCCCTGTCTCTCCACTGAGACTTAGTGAGACCACAGTGGAGGTCACAGCCTCAGGCTTCACACTGCCTCCTCTCCTAATGAGACTGGGCCATCCAACCTTCATTTTTGGCCCTAATGTACTTGATGGCATCCGGCAAAACAACTCTACAACCACCCTGACTCCCCACTGGGCCTGCGCTGACTTATCAGTGCCCCACCCTGTTCTGGCCTGGGTGCCTCTGTCCACTGAAGAAAGTTGAACACAAAACTAGGCAGAAACAAATGTACTATTGGCCCATCTATTGCCCCCAAGCTTTCCAGCTAACACCCGAGGCTCCCATTAACCTCTACAGCCTGCACATACTGCTCATAGACTTCAGCTGCTTCCCGCAACAGTGTGGACCGGCTCACAGGCCTTTCCACACTTCCAGCCCCCCCCCCCCACGGACCCCTGGCCTGGCCCCCGCATCACTCCCTTTCTTCCTCCAAGGGTTTCAAGACCACCGCACACCCTGCGTGCAGAACATTCCTGAGTTCTCTTCCACATCCGGCCCCACACCGTGTGCCTGGGCTCACCACCCTCTAAAAGCTAGCTACCTTTGATAAAGGCCCTGCTTTGTCTTCTTCACAATACGTGCCTGAAGATTTGCCCGGGGAGCTGTGAACCTTACCCCAGGACCTTGTCCCTACCCCCTGCCCCCCAGTGTCTGGGAGAGTGTCTGGCACACGCTAGGTGCTCACTGGGAAACCCCTTTCCTGTAGAACATCAACAGAGTAGCTCTCAGAAACCCAAGATCACAACGTCTCTGCTGCCCCCACGGCTGCTGCCCAAGGATGGGGCCAAGGGCTGAGGGTGGCCTGAGCAGCCAGGAGGGGCCGTGCAGGCACCTGTATGGGTGGCTCAGCACTGTGCTGGGCAGGAACCTGGGAACGACCCTGGGTGTGAGGCAGATCTCCACCACTGCCACCACCCTGGGGAGCCAGGGGTCTAGGCTGATGGGGCAGAAGCCCCTGGGAAAAGCAGGGCACAGAGGCTGACAATCTCAGGTCCATATTTCCACACACCTCAAACCCGACTCCACTTCCCTGGCACCACGCCTCCCAGCAAGCAGGCAACTGAGGCCACTTCTCAAAATGACCCGGAGCCCAAACACCACCCACGAACTCCATTTCCCAGCATACTCTGGTCCAGGGACGCAGTCTCCAACACTTGAACAAGTCCTGACTCCCAGAGCAGAGCTCAGCCCTCAAGACTCCGGCCCCTCACCAGGCTGATCCTTCAGATGCCACAAACGAATACTCCCTGAGTCTATCAGTCCCTTTCCGACGTGTCCATGAACCCAAACTCCATCCCACGGCATGCACGGGAGCTGAAACCCAGCTCCTCCTTCCAATCCGCCCGTGCAGGACTCCATTTCCCAGCATGCCCTGGGCCCAGGGCTCCCTCTCCCAGCGTCCTACACCTCGGACTACAACCCCCAGCATTCCTGGGGACCTGTCCGCTCACCTGGGAAGGGTCCTTGCAGCTGCTGCAAATTCCCCAAAATTTTCTGGCTCAGCAAATGAATGAGGCGGGTCACGACCTGGCATTGGGAGGTCGGGGCTCCGGTGAGATTGGACGGGCAGCTGTGAGAGCCTCACCTTTCCCGCCCGTTACCTGGGCTCCACTGCCAAGAATCCCGCCTCCACACCTTAAGGCCTCCCTCCCCCACCCCAAAAGCCCAGCCCACAGGCCCGCAGCGTCGCACCTGCGGATATCGTCGTTTGATGTGGCCCAGGGTGCCCTCTGGGAGTTTGGCCAGCTCCGTGTCGCGCACCGCGTGCACCGTGGTGGCGCGTGGCTGCCGTGTCAGCGCTTCCACCTGGGGGGCCGCGTGAATGACCAGAGCTGCTTGGGCCAGGAGGCTCCGGATAGGTAAGGGGGAGGCTGACTCGCGGTGTAGTGAGGAAGCAGTTCGGCTCTACTTGGTATCCCCCGAGATGGAGGGGTTGAAAGAACCAAGCCTGGATACCCATTAGGGCTCCGGGGAGGGAGAGAATACAGGAGTCCACCCAGGCAGGGGTCCCCTCTTCTGATGGAGAGAGGTCTGGGGACTGAGTCAGAAAAGAGTCACCACCGTGAGGAGGTCCCCTTTGAGGGCCAAGAAAAGTGGTATGGGCGAGGCCACAGGTCCGGGGCCTGGTTTGCCACCCCGTCGGATTACCCAGGATGATGTGCGCTACAGGCGGGGCAGAAAACTGTACTGGGAGAGATCAGAAGTCAGTGGGTGTGGCCGCGCTTACCACGCCAATGAGATCCCCGCGGCCATACTCGCCCACCAGCTCCTTTTTGCCACTGCCACGCTGGATGACGCTGCGCAGCCGCCCATTGAGCACGATGTAGGTGCAGTCGGAGCGGTCACCCTGCCTGGGGTGGGGGCAGGTCATACAGGGTCCAGCAGGGTCTTAGGCAGGGCTTTAGGCAGGGCCTGAGACGCAAGGTCGGGGCGGGGGCTGCACCTGTACAGAGCCCGTCCCGCCTCCACCGCGGTCCAGTCGATGGCAAAGTCCATCTGGCGCACAAAGGAAGACATCCTGGCAGCCACCGTGTGCGCGGCGCTCAGCACCACACTGGGTTGTGCGCGCATGATCCTGTGGATGGAAGGATGGAGGTGTATGGGCCGGGCATGTCCTGGCACTGCCCTTAGGAAGTGAACCGGATCGGTTGATGCCCTGGAGGTGGGACTGGAAGGGCCCAAAACTGCCCTGTTAAGGTGTAAACCATCTGGAGGGATGGCATCTCCCATGGCAAAATGCAGCCGGGTCAGGACCCTCCAGGCACCAGACCCACCCTAACGTAGGGCCCAGCCTTACTCATAGAAGTCACACTTGGAGATCCGCAGGAAGGTGCAGTCGCGCTGGGCTCGCAATGTGAAGATGAGAGGCTCCCCGGTGAGCACAGCCAGCTGCCCAACCAGCTCCCCGGGCTGTGCCACGAAGAGGCACACGTCTTCCGCCTTGTCAATCATGCGCTGGTACACATGCAGGCAGCCCCAGAGCACGAAGTGCAGGCTCACATCCTGTGCAGGGAGGGACCAAGAGGTGGGCACAGGGCCAGCCTTCCACCCCCAGCTCAGGTCAGTTCACTCCATAGGAGGCCTAGGAGGAGGGAGGGAAGGATTTCCATAGCTCAGCCAAGCAGCCTGTACAACTCTGTATTATTTGGTACTCAGGGCAGACGTTGCTATTGGGTCACCAAACTCTTAAGTCCAGATTAAGGCCCAGGAATTCTTTTCAACACAGCCAGCAAGAGGCTGCAAGGACTGGCTATGTAGGGGCGTGGCCAAACTTAAACCCTCTGCTCATCTAGGCAACTGGATAGCCACATGGAAGAATAAAGTTGGGCCCTCATTTTATACCACGTCAAAATGGATCCAAGATAATGAATGTAAGAGCTACAACTATAAAATTATTCAAGGAACATCCAGGGTTCCATCTTCATGAGTCTGAATTTGGCAGTGGATTCTTGGATATTACACCAAAAGCACAGGCAACAAAATAAAAAATAGATGAACTTTATCTAAATCAGAAGTGAACAGATAATCCACAGTTTGGGAGAAAATATTTGCAAATTATATTGTCTGCTAAGGGTCTTGAATCCAGAATATATACAGAAATCTTATAACTGAATACTTAAAGACAATGCAATTTAAAAACAGGTAAAGGATCTGAATAGACTTGTCCAAATCATGAATCTTTAGGGAAATGCCAATCAAAACCATAATGAGATGCCACTTCACATGTACTAGGAGGGCTAGGATAAAATAAAATGTTAGAATGTGGGGAAATCAGAGCCCTCAGACACTGCTGGTGGGACTGCGAAATGGCACAGCCGCTGTGGAAAACTATTCAAGAGCTGCCATATGACGTGGCAATTTGACTCTGGGACATCTACCCAACAGAAATGAAGACATATGTCAACCCAGAAATGTGTGCACGAACATTCACAGTGGCACTGTGCGTACCAGCCAACAGGCAGAAATAACCCAAAAGTGTGCCTGCAGATGAACAGATGACCGAATGCTGAGTATCCACACGGTGGGCTGTGACTCGGCCGCAGGAAGGAGTGAAGTACTGACACACTTGACTACAAGGTGGGTGAAACCTGAAGACATGACACTCGGGGAGACATGAAAGGCCACACAGTGTGGTTCCTTTTATAGGAAGGTTCAGAACAGGCAAATCTACAGAAACAAGATTCCTCGCTGTTTAGGGCTTAGGGTGGGGTGGGGGCAGGGGGCAGGAAAAATGATAGCTACAGTGTGTGGGATTTCTTCCCAAGGTGATAAAAAGGTTCTAAAACTGACAGTGGAGAGAGTTATGCAACTCGATGAACACGCTAAAAGCCACTGAATGGTCCTCTTTGAAAGGGCGGGTTGCACAGTATGTGAATGACATCTCAATGAAACTATCACCAGAACATCACAAGTCCTCTTTGTTCCTGCTCCCTTGTCATACTCCATGCCTGCTCACTTCCTTGTTTCTTGGAAGGCCACGCACTTCTTCCCACCACAGGATATTGGCACAAGTGGTTCCCTCTGCCCAGAATGCTCTTTCCTCCCCTTATACCTAATTAATTGCTCCCCATCAGTTCCACTTAGCTGCAGGTCCCTTCCTCAGACACATTGTCCTGCCTAAGGCGGATTTTGTAGCACTGAGAACAGCTGCTTTGTCCATGTAGTAAGTACCTAAGATTTTACACTCTTGAATTGTCATGTCAGTCAGCACTGTAGGCTCCACGAGGGCAGGGACCTGGTTTTCCTGCCTCTGCAGCAGGCAGCACAGGGCCTGTGACATCTGTCCAGCAGGACCTGGGACCTAGCAAATACTCCGTACAAACAGGGGCCCCTTTCCTCTCCGGTTAGCCTGCCTAGCCAGACACCTCCCTTTCCCACGCTTTTATAAATAAGGAGTTTCAAGTGCCTAGATGTGAGTTTCCTCCTCACCCGCCACAGGAAGCTGCCTGGCACCTCACAAAGGCCCAGTGATGCCACACCACAGGGCACATAGGCACACGCTGGAAACTTGTAAGACGGAGTTCCTAGGCTGTGTTTGGGATGTGGGTGGGAGTTAACCAGTATGAGGCTGCCATTTGCCATCAGGCTGGGCAGCAAGCAATTTACAGCGGGACTTCTCGGAGCCGTGACTGTGCAACGGGGACTTCTACGAAGAGATAAAGCAGCCAGCATTTCCTAACCCTACATGACCACAATCGCTCGGAACACGGGTGTTTCCCAAAACACAGCCTGGGAGATGCATGTGTAGAGCAGGGTTCCTCAGCCTTGGCATCACTGACACTGTCCCTGGGGAATTCTGTCCTGTGTGTTCTGACACCCTGGCTGCTGACCATTAGGTGCCCAGAGCGCCCTCCCAAGTCAATAAAAAAGCGTCTCTGTGTTGCCCAGTGCCCACTGGGGAACAGAACTCTGCTGGGCAGAAAGCCACCAGCCTGAGTCTCCGGGAGGCACAGCACAGTCATGTCCCTGACAAGCTGGAATGGCCCCGAGAAGCCTCGAGGGGCTGCGGGGCCCAGGGACCCCGTGAGAGCCACAGCGCCACCGCACTTCCTGAGCTCTCTGTCAAGAACCTTGAACAGCTGGCAAAAGTGTCACCCAACTTCCTCTATAGAAAGGTGTCACCCCTGCAATAAGCAGCTCGAAGGGACACCTGACTCAGCTGACCAAGTGATAGAACAGTACCCCCACCAGCTGACAGGCCAGGCACCCCTCACTCCACCCTGCAAGCGGCACTTTGGTCTCAGTCCCTATGTCATGTTGCCCTCCGTGTCACTCCTGACCTGCTGCTCCACACCCTTGCAAACGTTGGGCAGCTCAGAACTACTTCCTCTTTAAAGCTAGTGGACAGTTACTATTATTCTATTCTGCAGATGAGGAAGCGGAGAACTTTCTAGATGACTCGCCCAAGGTTACACACGGAGTCTAGATAGAGCCTGCAATTCAAATCTAGTCCCTCTCTCCGGAACCCTGCTCCTCTGTGCACTCTGAGTCCCGTGGAGAACACCGGGCTTTGTGGGGTGGTTCCTACACCTCCAGGCGCTGCCAGCAGGCATGGGAAGGCCAGCTCCTGCAGCCAGCTCATGGCCTCCAGGTCCCAATTCCACTTTGTCCACATTTATTGAGTGCCCGTCCCAGCAGGGCCCAGAGTAGAGATTAGACAGAACACAGTATTGTAGGCTCAAAAGGGCAGAAAACAGGTTGCAGGGAAGACCAAGGCAGGTAAGAGAGATCTAGTTTTGGTCCTAGCAAAAAGGTGCGGGGGTTGACGTGAAAGGTCAGTTGCTTTAGAGGACAAGGGGTGGGTGAGTTGTGGTGGTCAGTCAGTCACAGGATCTGAGGGATTGGAAATCACAGACTAAGAGGTTCACATGCAGGGTCAAAGAGCAAGGATCAGAGGTCAGAGAGGGCTCAGGTCATAGCTGCATGGTTACATGGTCAGGGGTTAACCTCACCTGGTCCCCCTGGCGGGCAATGATGGTGCCAGCTTTAGCATGATGTAGCAAGACTCGGCTGTTCAGGAGGGAGGGGTCCTGGGGAAGGAGAGACACTGAGACTGGTGCAGCCAGGCCTCCCCCTACCCTCCACCTCACCCCCTGCACCAAGGCCACCCACCTCGATCCGCATCAACTTGGCCAGCTCCCGCTTTCCTGCCTCAAAGATGCTACTGGTTTGGCGACCTTGGTAAGGCCCGAAGGGGCAGCCACCTGTGGCCAACTCATCTTCACAGTAGCTGTACTCACAGGCTCCTGCCGGCTGCTCCCGAAGCTCCTGAGTGGGGGTCTGCGTGGGCAGGGCCGGTGACTTCCCAGCTCCCACCCAACTTCCCTCAGGGGCCTCCACAGGGAAAAGGGCAGGGAGGGCAGGGCCTTACCCGCACGGGGGCTGCCTGGGGCCCCCCTGAGGCCTCTTCTTGCAGAGACACAGAGATCCGGCCGCGTTCATATGCCATGTCGAAGTCCGAGCGAGGGCCACCCTGCAAGCCTGCAGGGGACAGGGTACAAGAGAAGCAATACAGACAAGACAAGTTGTGGTTCCATGACCACAACTATGGCCAGAGCAACCAGCACCCATGTGCCACTGCCATGGCTGTGCAGGCGTGACTGACCGACGGTGGCACTCCCTCGGGATCCTCGCCACAGACGGGGGCCGTGTCTCAACGAGCACCCATGAAAAAGTCAGCAGAAAGTGCTGCCCAGGTTCCCAGTTCACAGCTAAGAACAACCAACGCTGGCCAGCCTGCATTCCAACCCAGAAGCTCCGTGACCTCCCCTTCCAGGCTGAGGCCCCAGACCTGAGATGTCCACAGGCATGGAGATGCAGCGGCTCAGCAGTGGGGCGGAGGGCGCTTCCAGGGATGGGGGCTTCACCGGGTCCCCTAAGGGAGACACAAGTTCAGGTTCCTACAGTTGGGGCTGGGAAACTGAAGGGGGCCTGGGGAGCAGTCAGCTCAGAGTCCCTGGGGATGGGAGACTAGGAAAAGTAATTCCAGCCCTGGCTGGTGTGGCTCAGTGGATTGGGTGCCAGCCTGCAAAGCAAGGGGTTGCTGGTTCAATTCCCAGTCAGGGCACATGCTTGGGTTGCAGGCCAGTTCCCAACAGGGGACGCATGAGAGGCAACCATACACTGATACTTCTCTCCCTGTCTCCTTCCCTTCCTCTCTAAAGATAAATAAATAAAAATCTTTTTAAATAAATAAATTTTTAAAAAAGTAATTCCAATGAGTCCGTGGGGCTGAGGCTATGGTTCCCCGGGAGGCCAACAGGAGTCAGACCTGGGTCCTTAGCCAAGAGGTCCCTGGGCCTCCAGCAGGGGTCATTTCAGATACCTGCAGGTCCAGGCAGAGGGGCCCCAGTGGGGTCAGGTGGCCGGCCAGGGGCCTCCCTGGGCTCCTCAGTTGCTGTGGCACTGACAACACGCTTGGAGCCTCGCACAGGGCTGGTTCGGGCGGGGAGGCCAGGGCTGGGGAAGAGGCGCAGGGGCTGGATCTCCTGGGGGCAGAGAGTAGCGCTGTAGCAAGTCCTGGGAGGCATGCGCTGGCCCACCCTTCCAGGCCCACCACGCCCGGGCTCTCGGAGTTACTCACGTGGCTGAAGAGCTCATTGGTGAGACCCAGGTAGTTGTGGAGGGCCAGGAAGGTGACCCGCTGCAGCCGCACCATGATGATCTGCAGAGGCAGGGCAGCAGGGCGGGGACAGAAGAGGGGCAGGGCCAGGGAACAAGTGAGTCAGCAGAGGGGGTAGGTAATAAGAGCCAGAGAAAGTTGGGACCAAGCATTCAAGGGATGGGTCCATGGATGGAGAGAACTTGAGGCAGAGCCAAGGCCAAGGTCGCAAGCATTAAGAGGAGAGCAGAGCCAGAGGCGCACCAGGGAGAAGTCTGCAGTGAAAAGGCAGAAGCCTGGGGAGCCAGGGGAGACAGCTAGTGGGAGGAGCGGGCTGCCCAGAGTGTTGGCTGGTCAGGGCTGATAAGCAGGGCTTGAGACATTGCTGGGTCCCAGCCTATGGGCACCAGTGATGGGCGGGGGTCCGTGGAAGGAGGTGAAGGGCCCACTGACCTGCACCACCCGCACCAAGCTCTCAGGGTACTTGGTGAAAACGGCGGAGAATGCTTCTACTGGCAGTCGCAGCACGGTGGAGTCTCGGGCTGCACGGGCGGACACGGTGCGCTGGGGGTGCTGGTGACCCTGGGAGTGCAGGGAACATGAGGAGAGTCATGGTCAGGCGCTGTGAGCCCCTCGCTGCTCCCCCAAGTCTTCCTAATTCCAGTGCCTTGAGGGACCACCAGCAGCTCCGGGCATATAGAGGTTGGGGGCCCTTTCCAACCAGCCCACTGGGTGTGGCATCGTACCCCAACCCCTTTGCCACCCCCTGAACTGGTCACTCACAGTGATGACATCCAGGATGCTCAGAAGACTGTTGACGCTGTCCCCAGGGACCACTTCCTTCACCACACACTCCTTCCCGTCCTGTAACACACATGGGATGGGGTGGGGTGGGGGTAGGGACCAGGGGTGTCCGGGCCCTGCCAACCAGCATTCCAGCCCTGGCCACACCACCGGCCCGCACACTCACCCACCCAGTGATCAGATGTCCTGACCTCTGACCCCAGCAAACCTTCTGACCAGCACCCATTTCTTGGCCATAACTGACAGCAATCACCTCAGATAACCTTGGGCATCTGTTCCTGATTCCTGTCCGCACACCTCAAAAGACCACCAACCCTACTGACCAACGGCAGTGCCTATTCTGAGCGGCCCCTGCGCCAGTGCCTGTCCCCTCTGCAGGGTCCCCGTAGGCAGCCCACTCACAGGCCCTGGCAGGCAGAGTTCCAGCAGCCCATCTTGCACCACGTATATGCTGGCATCTGGCTGGCCGGGCCGGAAGACGTAGTCGCCCTGGCTGAGCCGCTGGAAGATCATGTGCCGGCAGAGCTCCAGGAAGAGCGGCTTCTCGAAGTGGCCCAGCACCCTGTTGGGAGGGGTGGAGAGGAGGAATGCAGGCAGTCAGCCCAGCCCCCAGCTCTGCAGCACCCAGCCCGCACCCTGACACTGACCGGACATTCTTGAGCATGTAGAGCACCTCGGAGGGCAAGTGGGAGTTGGCCAGGTCACCCTCTGTCAGGTCAGCCTCGAGCACCGCAGGCGGGGGCTCCTTCCGTTGCAGCGTTGGTGTCTCTTTCTGGATGCGTAGGATCCTGGTGGGAGCAGGGAGAAGGCTCAGGCAGACCTGCGACCCCCACACAGCCCTTTCCCAGGGTCACCAAATCCGGCCTACTGGCCAAATCAGGCCCCCCACTTCTTTTTTGTACATAAAGTTTTATTGGCACATAGGTACATTCATGCAGTACATGTTGCCTGTGGCTGCTATCATGCTACAATAGCAGAGCTGAACAGTTATAGCAGAGTTGTGTGTGGCCTGTGCAGTGTAGGGTGTTTACTCTCTGGCCCAATACTGAAAAAATTTGCTGACCTCTTACATGAAACCCTGAGGTCATCCCTCCACTAGTCATAGGTCCCTGAGATGGACCCTCTAGTTAGACCCGACATAGCTTCCAGGACACGGCAGACCTTAGAAAAAACCCTCTGTCTGTCAGAGGCCCCATATCCTCCCAGCAGACACAGCCCAGACTCCCAAGGTAGCCTTTCTAATGTCGGCAGACCGGGGCGTAGCTTCTGTGATATGAGACCTCAGAAATAGTCTCACTGTTCTTTGTATTAGCTCCCTGATAGCCCTTTCTCCCAGGTGTCAAAGAACCCTGAGGCAGCCCCTGGGATGGCCACAGAGACCCCTGAGCTGGCCCTTGCCAAGTGGAGAAGCCAGGTACACATCCTCTGTGTTGTGTGTGGACCTGGAAGAGCTGTTCCCTGCAGGTCGGTTACTGCAGTGGCCACGAGGAACGTGAGATAGACACTCCAGTATGAGTAGCCCCTGGAGTTAAGCTTCTTGCGCTAGCCTTTCCCCAGGCCCCAGATACCTGAGGGAGCCCTTGATGGCCCTGACATCAGGGTAACTCCTCAGGGGTGTGCACACACTGACACGTGGAGAAACACGACAGAGGGTCTGATCATGGAGAACTAGAGACAGCCCTTCTCAAGTCCCAGAAAGTCAGGAAACAGGACAGCTGCTGGTCACAGACAGCCCTGGGACCTCTCCTTAGTGTGAAAAACCCCTTGAGACAGACCTTCGTAATGTCTAATGAAGTGGATCACAAGATGTCAGGAGACCCCAGAGCCAGCTCCCAACTTAGGAAGATTTCTGGAAGAGCCTCCCTCAGAGACTCTGGGGGAGCCCTTTGCCAATGACAGGCACCCTGGAAATGTCCTTCCTATGTTTTTACTGCAAAAAACTCTTGAGATGACCCCTAGGAAACAGAAATCCCTGACATGACCTCCTTAGCGTGGAAAGAGCTCCAAGATAGGTGACACAGAGATATGGCTCCTAATGTGCAAGACTACTAACACAACCCCAGGACAGCCGAAGCTAGGGACAGCCCCTCCAGCTGGTCCCAGAAACACATGAGATAACCCCAATGAGACACCTCTTATGTGAGAAGACCCACAAAACAGCCTACACTGACACCCCAGATAGAGACCCCTACTGTACGCCAAGGCATCAGAGACACTGACTGAAGAGCAAACAGCTCCTAGATACTTCAGAGAGGGCTGTAACTGGCAGGGAATCACCGAGACAGCCCCCTAGTGGACAGAGACCCCAGAGACCCCTGTTTGCTGCGGGGGAGAGTTCTGAGATAGCCTCTCTGATGTGGGGAGTCTCCCCAAACAGTCCATGGGGTGGAAAGAACCTCAAGATACACCCTTCAGTGTGGGCTAACCACTCAAAAGTCCCATGAGATAGCCCCCAAAGCCAAGTATCTTCTCAGCTTACTTCTTGGCAATGTTCAGCATCTTGAGTTTCTTCTTCATGCGTGGTCGGGAAGTAGTGGAGACAGAGGCGTCCACCAAAGAGGAAGTGGACTGTGACACCTAGGATACGAAAGGACGAGGATGTGTCAACTGCCTGTTCAGACACTGGGGAAGAGGGTATCCAGATGCACAAACCCTAATCAAGGAAGAGTTTCTGAAGAGTTATAACTGCGTTAAGGGCAGGGCTTCTGTGTTGTCAGCCAAAGCCCCAGGTGGTCCTACACTCACCTTCCGCATAATCTTCCGGCCATAGAAAAGCACTTTGTCCCTCTTCCGGAATCGATACCGCGGGCCATCTGGGGCTGGAGTTTCTGGGGATAAGGGGAGAGGGACACTGAGCTCTCCGCAGACTCCACGCGGCCAGAGATGGGGACACTACGTGCAGATTCCAGCAAACCCCATTTCTACTGCCTCCAGGACCCGGCATTTCAGATCATCCCCACAACAAGCCTCGCCAGAGGGGCCCTCTGGGTTCTCACTCGGCACTCGAAGTCTCCGCACTAGCAGGACGATGAGCACGGCGGTAACCAACACCGCGACTCCGGTCCCGATCATTACGCCCAGCACCTGCGGGACGAACGGCACTGGCTGCGCATCGCATACCCGTCCCGCCGAGCCCTCCCCGACCCCATTCCATTTCTCCACGTCCACCCCCGAGACGTTCTCAGCCGGCCCTGGCCCCTGTGCCCCCATCTGCAGAGTGGACCAGCGTTTCTCCGAGCCCGGGCGGGAGGGGCGCGCAACACCTCCCAGCGACCTCGCGGTGCACGTTGGGAAATGTAGTTCCGCCTGAATAGACGCAACCCAGTTCTCGCGGGACTGCGATGAAACGCGCTGAGCACGTCGGGAGTCGTAGTCCCGCGGCGCCTCACAACTTTCTTGGTTTACCATTCCGGTTTGTAGCGGGGCCTCCATCAGCTGTTTCAGGCCAGGCGGCAGGTCTAGTAGCCCCGAATCCTAGGAATCAATAAGCAGAGCCCAGTCGAACCCAAACAAGTCATCCTTCTGGGCCCGCCCCTCCCCTGCCGCAAGCCCTGCCCCTTGCCATTCTGCTGCCTGGGCTGGGGATAGCTAGAGGGAAGCAGCGGACACAGCGGTGGGGCACACAGACCTCGGGGTCCGGGCTGGGGCGTGCGGCGGTCCCCGGCTCCCTCGCCCCCCGGGCTCCCTTCACGGACGCCCCAGGCCGACCAGTCCCATGCCGGACAAAAGAGCTGCCGGCCGACCACCCACTGCCAGCAGCAGGCGCACGACTGCCGAAGGACATGCTCCCCCACGCAGACCTTTACCCTACAGGATGGGTGAACCCTAACCCACCGACGCCCAGGCCGCACCCCGTTCTCTCTGCTAATACGAGCCTTGAGCTCAGGGGTTGGGGAGGTGACTGGCGCCCAGGTCAAGCCTACCCCCGGAGTGCTGCTGGGAGCGCCCACACAAGGGGCTGGGATGCTCGGAGTCGGGTGCGCTCCCAAAATGTTATGGTTGATGCTGGAGGTTTGCTGTCACCTAATAGTAAATGTACAGGGTCCCCAACAGCGTGGAGCATCACAGGGACATGGGAACGGTGCTGGCGCCATTGCTGGGCGACGTGACCGGGATGCCAGAATGAATGGGGGCACTGGAAAACTGAGAGGTTCTGAAGCGTGGAAAACCACTACTGGAAGCCGTGTGCACGTTCTTAGGGTCGCTCGAGCACCAGAGTGGACCTAGGGAGGGCGCTGGGGCCCCTTGGAAGACGCTAAGGAATGCTAGAATATCACTGGGACTTTCCTGGGAGACTGGGACCGCTGGAGTATTAATGGGAATGGGGGGGGGGAGTTACTGGATCCCGGAAATTTCATGAGAGGGTTGCTAGTCCCATTCCACTGTAGGGCACACCTAGCTACCGATAAAGAAACAGCTGCCAGGACGCGGGTGAGGGGATGAGGACATCAGAAAATCAGGAGGGTACCAGAAATCGGCAGAGCACAGATCTTGAGAAAGCTGAGGACTCGCTAATGATCCCCGAAAGAACGCCTATAAAAGGGTGACGGAAACCTGGACTCACCCAGAGGCCGCTTGCCAGGGTCCACTCTGTGCCAACACCTCTGGAGTTCCTCCCAGCGCGGCCCCTTTAAGTTATTCGCCACAGGGCGCGCCTAAGCCCCACCCCCACCATGTTTGTAAGGTCGCGAGGAAACAGCCATGCTGAGTGTGGCTACAACTTACAAAAGGGGTTGAAAGCGGTAGGCGCAGGGAATGCCCTTCACACTGGAAATGTGGACTCGTTTAGTTTGTTTTATTTAACACCCACTCTACTCTCGTCCTACCCAACTGGCCCACGTCCTCACAAGGTGCTGCAGGAAGCCAGCCCTTAAAAGCAAACCCCAAAAATAAATAGGCAAGACACTCCTGGGGCTAAAGTCTGCTGGTGGTCGTCCTCCGGGTCAATTCACCAGCAGCGAGCGCTCCTCTGAGGTGTCCCTGGAGGAGGAACAGTGTCTGGCCGGGAGGAAGGCAGTAGTTCCCCCCCACACCTCCCCTCCCCCCAGGCCCCAAGCCCACCCAGACTCGAACCTGCAGCAGCAGCACAGGCCGCAAGTCGAGCCACTCCCGCGGCGGAACTTGCCGGAGGTGGGGCTGTCTTGGCACTGGGAGATGTAGGCCTGGAGCTCACTCTCCTCCGCGCCCGCGCCTGGGTGCTGCGGAGAAAAGCAGCGTGGCCGCACGAAGGGGGCCCCTTGAGATCTGCCCTTTCCTCCACCTCCTCGCCCTTCCTCATTGACTCTTCCTTGGTCCGTCCGTCCGAGTGAACAGTCGCGGCTTTCAGCCTCCCAACTTCGTGCAGGAGCCACTATCCCTTCCCCAACTTCTTTCTGGCAACCAGGTCTTTGCACTGGCTATTTCTGCCCCTTGCTATTCCCTCAGTTGGGCTCCCATCTCTTCAGTCTAGAACTTTCCGAGATGATCAATTCTATGCTGTTCTCTCTGGAAGCTACTAGCCACATAGTTTCCTGGGCACCTGGTATGTGGATGGTGTGAGTGATGAACTGAATTTGAAATTGTATTTCATTTTAATTAAAATTATAACTTAAACAGTCTCATGTAATTAGAGACTAATATCAAAAAGCATGTTCTAGAAACTTTCCTTCATTCCTCTTGCCAGCCAATCGTCATACGCCACCCCACCTTGCCCACTGGCCTGCGCAAGGCCAGGCTGTGCACATCTTGCCTTGTTTCCCGGGTGACTGGTGCCCAAAACAGCGCTTGGCTCACAACAGGCCCTCCCACATGTTGGGTAAAAGAATCCTATCTGCCTGCCACCCCCATACTCTGCTCTAACCCCTTTCTTTCCTTAATCCCCACAGCCTGCAGGACAGCTATGGTTCCCGGACCCACAAAGCCCCTGCCCAGGCCAGAGGGTTTTGGAGCAAGGCTTCTGAATCCACAGTCCTGGCTTGGGCCTGGCTTCACTACTTAGTCACCGACCTTGGGTAAATCACCGAATCTCCACGGCCTGATGTCCCTGTTGGTAAAAGCAGGCGCAAGAACCCTCGCTGGCCAGAGCCCCACCTGGGTCAAACTGAGAACGCAGCAGCTGTGCTCAGGATATCGGTCCTGCCTGTGCCCTCTCTGAGCCACCATCGCCTTTGGCTTTGCAGAGTCTCCCACTTTCCTCCCAGGGAGGGCCCTCCTCTCCTTGCCCCGCCATGTTCCCTGAGACACCAATGTGGTGGTCCCCAAGGGGTACAAAGCCCAGGATGGAGCTGTGTATGATGCTGGTTGGCCCCATGGAGAGGAAGATTGGAAGGGCCATGAGGCTGACCTTGATGGTGTCATAGGCGCCGGTGATGAGTGCGATGAAGAGGCTCAGCACCATGTAGATGAAGAGGCTGATGAAGGAGTAGAGATAGAGCTGGGAGAAGAGCCAGACGAGGCTGCTGCGGCCCTGCTGGGCCTGCATCGCTGCAAACGTCACGAACATGTCATCCCCATTGATGAGTGAGAAGAGGCACTCCGACACCATGGACAGCGAGCGGAACTGTGGCCAGACAGGTCATCGGGCTTGTGGGGACAGAGGAAGCTGTGCGCATGGCTGGGGACTGGGCGGGGGCACCAGGGCTTAGAGGGGACAGTAGACAGGGTACCAGTGGTTACAATGGGGCCTCCTGGGGGTTGCTGTGTAATAACAAGGTCACAGGGTCAAGGCCAGGGTTACTGGGGGTCAGAGGAACAGTGGGCAGAATATCAGCAGTTACAATGTGGTCATTTGGGGGCGGGTCATCATGTCAATAAGGTCATAAGGTCACTGCCAGGGTCAGTGGGCAGACCCACTGCAGACCTGTTTGTAAAGTATTGGGGGTCACTCAGTGTGACCAGGTCAGTGATAGATAAGCCAGAGGTCTGAGGGTTTAGGGTATAGGTTCAGGGGAAGGGAGCCAGGGCACCCTCACCTGTGGGTCATGAGCACCCCTCACTAGCCCCAGCTAGCCCCTACCTTCACGTGGTAGGGCCCCAACACGATCCAGCCGCAGAAGCAATAGCCTAGGTAGATGACAGCCACACAGCAGCAGAAGCGCATGACACTGGGCAGGGCCACCCGCAGCGTGGCGATGAGGATCTGCAGTGGGCAGGTGGCTGATGAGGGCCTGACCACAGCCTAGTCCACAGTGAGCATGGGGTGCAGCAGGCGGGGCCTGGCTGAGGGCACAGATGGGGGAGCGGAGGAGGGGCAGGCTGAGGGTGTCCAGTGACTGGACTCAGCTGGACAGCTGTGCAGGGGCAGGCTGATGTGACCCCTGCCCAGGTTCAGGGCCAGGTACATCTGGGGTGGGCAGGTATCAGGCTAAGAGACTCGTGACGGGTCATCTGCAAGGGCTGGTGATTGCCCCACGTGTACGAATTTGAGGGGTGGGAACTGGGGAACATGTGGCCACCACCTGGAGAGAAGGCCCAGCCTGCACACACAGGCTTACATTGTACTTATGGAAGAAGGTCAGGTAGCGGATGACACCGACCCAGACCAGCAGCGTTGAGGTGCCCAGGAGGATGCTGCAGACATCGTAGCTGGCCAAGTTCTAGGGACAAGAACAGTGTCAACCCCATTTGGCTGGAGAATATGGCCCCAGGTGGGCCTCAGTGGGGACAGCAGAGGGACCAGGGTCTGGAAGGGGCTGCCAGGGGCTCGGGCAGGTGTGGGCAGGCCCCACCTTGGCCTCGATGCCAATCTTCATGATGGTGCCTGAGATGGTGAGCACGTCGCTGGTGACCAGCAGTATGTACCAGCCATTGACAAATTCCAGCCGCTCCCACAGGCTGATAGCCCGTCCTCGCTGCTGCCACATGAACCGCACAAACTCCTGCAGGAGGCGGGCAGGGTGAGGACCTCTCCAGGCACGGGAGCCTCGCATAAGGCCCCGGAACTGGGCAAGGCTGGTTTGGGCACATGTGACTCTGCAGTGGCTCTCACATTCTGTAGCAGGAAGCCTCGGAGTAGGGAGCGGGCGCAGAGCAGGAAGGAGAAGGAGCAGGTGAGGGTCACAACCACGTCAAACAGAAGCCGGAAGCTGTTGTCTCCTGTGGGGAGGGGCCCTGGGTAGAGCCGGGCAGCTCGGAGCCAGCAGAGGCCAGGGCTGGGGCTGGGCCTGGCCAAGGGGACCGCAGGGCTGGTCGGTGGCTCATGGGTTACTCTGAGTCAGGAGCTCAGTCAGCGCTGGTCAGGGTCCCTGGTTGATGCTGCTCCAACCTTGGGGCTCCCCCTGTGCAGTTCGGGGCCCCTGGTCAGCAATGGTCTGGGGTTTGAGGGCTCACCGTGCCCGAAGACGCTGGGGTGCTTACACTCCTGGATGTGGGTCTGGGTCTCCAGGCTGATGGGGATGCGCCCACTGTACGCCCTGTTGTCGAACGTGATCTGCGGCAGGGTGCAGAGTGAGCCTTGGGGGCCTAGGCGCACAGCCTCGCGTGAGGGATGGTCTGCTCGGCCCCACCTCCTCCTTCGTCCCACACTGCCCTTGGCCAAGTGTCCCCAGCCCTCTGGCTCAGAAGTCCTGTGGCACCATCCTCCACCTCCCACACCAGATCACTGTGGGCTCACCAGGATGCTGAAGGTATAGCAGTCTGGGATCTCATTGTTGATCAGGCTTTGAAGGTTGATGGTCTTCAGCTGGAAGTGGATGGTAACGTTGATCAGCCTAAGGGGAGGGTTCCGATGAGGGGGAGGGGGCTCCACAGCTCCCTCTGGCCCTAGGATGCCAACACCCCTGCAACATGCTGACTCTGCCACTGGCAGAGGAAAGTGCTCACTCAGCCTCCTCCTCCCCTGCCCTTTGCTCAGCCCTGGGGTGGCCCCTCCACCAGGCAGTACTTATGGAACTTGAGCGTGAGGTTCTTGTAACTGGTGCTGCCATCCAAGAGGGAGAGATCTTCACTAGGGGGCACAAAGGGTCTCTCAGGGGGGTCCACCCCAATGCAATCTGAAGACAGAGTCAGGGAAGGGGCACGGGATGGGGGAGGCATGGGCATGTCTCCTAGAGTCCCTGACGGACCCCGCCCCCGACTCACTTTGCACTTGAACATTTGTTGTTCATCCCCCCACCTCTCCCCAGAGTTGGGGCCAGTCCGTCTGGGCCCTACACAGACCCCAGGGCACAGAGCTGTCAGGCTCACTTGGTTAGTGAATTAACGACACTGCATCATCACCCCCAGGGGTTCTCCTAGGGATGCTGTGTGCCTCAAACTGGAACACTTAAGACAGCCCCATCTCCCGATGTGTGAGGGTAGAGCCGGGATTTTAATCCCAACAGTTGAGGCTCCCCAACAGCCCAGCCCTGCCTCGTCTACTCACCAGTGACGACCATTGGGTCAATGTCAAAGGAGTCATTGGCTGGGTCCACGTGGCCACGGTGGTAGTATCGCTGGCAGAGGGCCAGGGCCGAGCCATTGGCCCAGGGGCCACCCCCGCCCCGCACATATGCATAGTGGCCCAGCGACACGTTAGGGAGCACCAGGTACTGTGGGCAGGCAGAGAAGCAGGGAGGGTCCGTCAGCCCTGCCCGAGCCTCCTCCCCCGATGCCTGCCCACCTGCCCCCACTGCACACACCTGGTCCACGGCGTAGAAGATGGCCTGGTAGAGCTGCTCCCGTGTATAGGCTGCGAAGGTGTCGTCCGCCCCATCGGAGTAGCCCAGCAGAAAGAGGTGGCGAAAGGCGATGGTGTTCTCCTCTCGGAATGTCACCGCTACCTGGTTGCTGAGCCCAAACAGGATGAGCTGGCAGGAGGGACAGGGGGTCAGCACTACTGGGAGGGGGCCTCCCTGCACGGAGCAGTGGAGGGAGAGGGGAGAGAGGACCCACTCCATGAAGGCATGTGTCCCCATCGTGCATGCCCACCGTTTGTCCCCAATGCATGGCACACAGTGGGCACCCATGTGTCTCAGGGTAGCAACGGATGTTCATCACATGTTCACCAGATGCCAACTTCCATGCTAAACCCAAACCCACAGGGTGAATACCACACCACTGGGTCCCTTTACCCTGGGGACATGAGAAGCACAGTTCCACGCCCAGAGTCATGGTGCCCTAAGCAGGGGCAGACTCTGAGGCATCCTGGGGTCACTACACCCCAGCACAGGGCCTGGAGTGGGAGTGGGGTGACGACCTTTCCAGCCACTGGGTCAGTTCTCTTTGAGCGTCAACATGGCATCAGGCTACCAGGGTTCAAGTGCCAGCAAATCCTAATGCTTGATTGCTGGGTCACTTTGAACTCCATGCGCCTCAGTGTCATTATTTGCAGAAAGGGGACACTCAATCACAGGTGCCTGCTTCATGAGCTGTTGGAGGATTAACCTCTCTGAGCCTCAGCGGCCTGGTCTGTGAAATGGAGGCAACAACAGTGGCCAGGGCCCTGGAGGGCCTGTGCGAGGTTCAGAGGGACTGCTCACAGGCAGAGCTCAGAGGGTTTTCCAATTTATTACTGCCACTGTCCCTGCCATGAAGCTGCTCTGGGGTATGCACGAGGCTCCAACTCCCAGACTCTCCTTCAAGGAAAACAGCGGCCACAGGCAGCGTTTGGGGGGCCCCCCCCCCGCAGCCTCACCTGCACCGTGACTACCAGGATCTTCACCATTTGCAGCATCAGCTTAAAGGGCTTGCGACCCTTGGCCCGAAATTTGTCACAGGGACTCATGAAGAAGTACTTGAGGCGGCGGCGGAGGTCTTCCTCTTCCAGAGAGGTTTCGGGGACTGGTGAAGCCCCCGCCTGGGTCCCATACCCAAGGCTGGGGGTCAGGAGGTGCTCAGTCTCTGTGGGAGTGGGGGAGCACAGTGGTGGTCAGGCCCAGACAGGCTCACCTCCCACCAGGGGCGGCAGATCCCACGTTCCAGCCAAGAATTCTGGGAGATCTAAGACAGTCTGAAAGTCTGCAACAGCTGATGGATGGACACAGCAGTGCAAATTCGGGTTTGGGACTCAGAAGGGCCTGAGCTGATCCCTGAGCCTGATGCTCACTGGCTCGAACAGGCTACCCAGCCTCTCTGAGCCTCCGTTTCTCATTTGCAACGTGGTGCCATAGCATCTCTCACAGAAAACTGAGGATCTGATGCTTACAAAGTATTTATCACAGGGGTAGGCAGGAGTGTCAGGACATTCCATCACCATTCCTGTTTTTGAAATGTGGAGAGAGAATGAATGGCTTCCCCTGGCTTCTCCCAGGGTGCTCGAGGCTCCCGGGCCTTCCCAACTCCAGCCCCCAGGCGTGAACCTGGAACTCAGTATTTTCTGGACAAACCCTTCCCACCCATCATGGCCTGGCCTGGCCAGTCCAGCTGATACTCTCACAGCCACAGGCCTGGAGAAGGGAATGCACTTGCTGAAGACTCACTGTGAGTCCCCATGTGTTATGACAGCACCACCCATGTTGTTGTTTATGAGCTAATACGGCATCTGCATTAAGGCTGCCAGCTCCCGGAACTCACACAGCCCTAGGACCAAATCCCAGACCAGCCACTTCCTGCTCGGGGGACCCCCAGGCACCTTTCTAAATCTCAGTGTCCTTGTCTGAAAAGTGGAAATAAAAAAGAAGTCTTCCCCCTAAAGCCAAAACCCTGAAAATGCTTCCAGAATGAAGTGAAACAAGACAGAGCAGGCCAATTTCAGTCATTCTTCAGTCAACAGAGGTTATTCTAAGCACTGCCTGTCCTCTTCACCCTGACCAGCCTCAGAGGAACGTCCAAGGTTTCAGCAACTGCTGGGGCTACAGCTGGTCACAGCAGCCCAAAACTGTCCCTAACACACACCCACCAGCGCCACCCAGAGAACCCAGCTTCTTTCGAGTGACCGGCTGACCCCCTGCCTGGCACCACCGCCAAGATGATTATGAGCCTGTTCTGCAAGGAGGGCCACCTCCTGACCCATTCTTTTGGAGCTTGAATGCCTCTGCGGTTGTTTACGAGAGCTGGGTGGAGGCCAGAGGGTGGGCCTGCCTCCCCGGCTGGGATCACAGCTAACCCACCCCGGACCGCAATGGCGAGACACCTTTCCTGTGTCTCCGGCTAGCTCAAGAAGCGAAGACGGACACCAAGGGTGTTCCTCCAGGCTTCCCCATGGGAAATGGAGATTGGAGAGGTTGGAGGCTAGGCACCCAACGTCCGAGTTCAGGAAAGCTGAGCTTCCATGGGTTTGGAGATGTGAAATTGTGTCAGTCGCCTAGGCTCAAGGAGGGAATACCCTCCAGTCCTCGGCCTGAGTCTAGAGAAGCTGAGCATATGCCTCCGGATTGGGGAAGGAAATGCTGGGGCTCTCGTGCGGACTGGGGAAGCTCGTGCCCGCTGAGCTGCAGCAAAGCTGAGCGATCCCAACCCAGGATGAGTGGGAACCTCGCTGCCCGGAGCCGGAAAAGCTGGAGAAGCCGGCAGCCCGACCGCCCGCGGAGTTTAGGAACTCAGAGCACAGCTCGGACGGAGGAAGGGCAGTGGGAGTCCCGTCGCTCCGAGGTCGGAGGAGCTGATGCCCACCCGCCGCCCAGGCTCTGGGAGCCTTCTGCCCACATCTCCCCCGCCGGAAAGCTCAGAGGCCAGCACCGGAGCTCGGGGGAGGGAAACTGGCTGCTCCGCCGCCCCACCTGGAGCAGCTGGCCGCACGACCTCACCTGAGCCTCGCCGGCCCCCGGGGGCTGCCATTCCGAGCGCGGAGCGCCGGACGCCAGCGGGCGCGGCGGAGCAGCCGGGGCCACAGCGCCCACCGCTGTCACTGCGGCCACGCTCCCTCGTCACGCCGCTTCAAACCCTCATGCATCAGCTGACTCGCACCCGGGTCACGTGGCCGGGGCGCCCTCAGAGGCACGTGACCGGATCCCGTCCCTGCCCCGGCGCCAAGACGACACCTACCAGAGCCACGAGCCTGCGCGCAGCTCTTGCTTGGGCGACTTGCGGGCCGCGGCGATCGCGAGGCCCTAGCGCCGACAGGCGACAAGATGCGAGGGGTCTGCTGGCTCTGAGCGTAGAACCAGCGCCAATCTCTTGGCTTCCACGTCCGCGAGGTCTGGTGACGACCCTACATCCTTCTAAGGGCTGTTTCCCTCTATTCTCCCAGAAATTCCCGAGTTCCTCGAAACCTCTTCCTTTGCAGCTCCTCTCATACGGCCTATCAGCAAATCCTATTTCATGTCCTCCTTATATCTCAAACAGGACCAGTCATTCCCACTTTTATGGCCCTCAGCCCAGAGTCCCCCACCGTTCCTGGCCTGGGCCACTGCAGCAAGCTCCTTTTTGCTTTTAAACTTCCACTCCTGACCCCTCCCATAGCCCTCCATCCAACAGCCAGAAACATCTTCGTAGAATAATTTGCTCTGATCGGTGTGGCTCGGTTGATTGGGCATGGGTCGGTTTCGCAAAGTGAAAGGTCGCAGGTTTGATTCCCCATCAGGGCACATACCTAGGTTGTGGGTTCGTACCTGGTTGGAGCACATATGAGAGACAACTGATCCGTTTCTCCCTCACATTGATGTTTCTCTCCCTCTCTTCCTCCCTTCCCCTCTCTCTAAAAAATACATACCTGTATACAAGTTAAAAGGAAAAAATAAAAAAGATTTCATATCAGTCCTTTGCCAGAACCTACCACAGTGACTTCCCATTTCTCTGAGATGACGAACTCCCCACTACAATCTACCACAGCCCTCTGATCCTCCCTCAGTTCAGCTCTCAATGGCCCCAGGGCCTTCACACCCTCTAGCCCTGGAGAATAATGGTTGGGAACCCAGAATCTGGGGGCTGGACAATTCAAGTTGAAATCTAGGTGCTGCCAACTGCCATCTCTGTCTTCCAGAGTCCCTTAAACTCCACGTGCCTCAGGGTCATCATTGGCAGAGGGGGAATGCTCAATCGTGGTTGCCTGCTTCACAGAGCTATTGGAAGAATTAAGTGAGAAAATGCAGTGGGGGGTGGGATGGGTAGAGGAGGAGGGCAAAAGGGGGGGGATTGGGACAACTGTAATGGAATAACAAAAATAAACATTTTTCATGGCTAAAAAAATAAGAAAAAAAAAGAAAATGCAAAAGCATAGCACAAGGCTGGGCCAACAGCGCTAATGACTAAATGAACAGTTACTGGGATTATAGTCTTTCCTCCAGAATGCTGCCCTCACTGAAATCAGGAGTTTTGTATACTTCTGCTAGAATGTACCATATCCTGTAATTACTTTTCAAATGTCTCCATGTTTTGTATCTGTGAGCTTTCAGCAGATGCTTGTTGAATGCATAAATGAGCAACCTCCTTTGTCCAGTGGGGGGTACCTGTATGTGGACTTTGAGGGGTGAGGGGTAAGTTAGGGGAGCAGAGGGGGCAGGATGGCCCACATGGCTTCCCACCCGCCTCCATTCTCAGCCCACTAAGTTCAACATACCATAGATCCCAACATTCAGATAAACCAAAGGGAAGGGATGCTGTTCAGACCACCTGCAATGCTAAGTCTGCTCCTGACCAAGCTGACCAGGTCCAGGGTGGCAGAGTGGTAATTGCTGGTATGGAGGAAGCTGGGAAGTCTGGAGGATATCAGGGGAAGCCAGAGCACTGGAGTTCTAAAAGCATGGCTGGCTCAGGCCACACCTTCCCATTCCCCAAGGAGCTGTGCATCAGGGGAGACAGAGAAACAGGAAAACCATGAGACAGAGCCAGAAGGCAGTGGGAGGGTTTTACTAACTGCACAACACACAACTTCCCCAGGCCTCCATGGGTAGCAGTGTCCCCTTCAGCCGTCGGGCCCCAGCAGCGCCCCTTGTTCCTGCACCCACTCAGGACTCTCACAGGCAGGGAGGGTCAGACTCTCATGGGAGGGAGAGCTGGGGTCAGGGCGGGACTCGGGGTTGGGGACAGGGCTGGGCACAGGATCTAGGTCTGGGCTGTGACCAGATCCATGGTCAGGGCTGGCCACAAGGTCAGGACTGGCATCGTGACCAGGTTTAGGGTCAGAATACTTGACAGGATCGGGGTTGGGGACAGATCCAGAGCCAACGCCAGGCTTGGGGCTGGGACTTGAGAGGGAGCCCAGCAAAGAGCCAGGGTCAGGGCCCAGACCAGAGCCAAGTACAGAGACAGCATCAGGACCCAGGAGGGAGACCTGCCCGGACCGCAACACTGAAGCAGGACTGAGGCCCAGACCAGCAGCAGCGGCTGTGGCTGCTGCAGCTGCCGCAGCTGCACCCTCATGCACCCGTTTGTGCTTGGTGAGGCTGGAGGCTTGGCCGAAGGCCTTGCCGCAGAGCTGGCAGCGGTAGGGGCGCTCTCCAGAATGCACATGCAGGTGCTGCAGCAATGCTGAGCTCTGCCCGAAGGCCTTGGAGCAGTGGGGACAGGCGTAAGGCCGCTCGCCAGTGTGGATGCGCAGGTGATGCTGCAAGTTGGAGCTCTGGCCAAAGGCCTTGCCGCAGTGGGGACAGCGGTAGGGGCGCTCCGCAGTGTGCGTGCGCTGGTGCTGCAGCAGTGCCGAGCTCTGCCCGAAGGCCTTGCCGCACTGCGGGCACGGGTAGGGCCGCTCGCCTGTGTGGGTGCGTAGGTGCTTCAGTAGCGCCGAGCCCTGCCCAAAACCCTTGGCGCACACTGGACACTTGTGTGGCCGTGGGCCGCCATGCGTGCGCAGGTGCTGCGCCAGCAGGGAGCCGTGCCCGAAGGCCTTGCCACACACGGGGCAGTGGTGGGGCTTCTCGCCGCTGTGGCTGCTGCGGTGCTTCAGCAGTGTGGAGCGCCAGCCAAAGGCTTTGCCACATGCAGCGCACTGGTAGGGTCGTGCACCTGTGTGGATGCCTCGGTGCTGGGCCAGTGTGGCGCCATGGCTGAAGGACTTGCCGCAGTCGGGGCAGCGGTAGGGCTTCTCACCACTGTGAGTGCGGCGGTGCTGGCTCAGCCCGGAACTGCGACGGAAGGCTCGCCCGCAATCTGGGCAGGAGAAGGGCCGGGGAGGACTGGCAGGTGCAGGGAGCACCGCCTGGCTGGCGGCCAGGCCTTCCGGGGTGGCAGTGAGGCTGGAAGAAAGGGGGTCCAGGTCTGGGGTTTCTGGAGGGCTGAGGGTGTCGCTGTTAGGGTCGAGAACCAGGGGGACAGGGCCAATGACGTCTGGATCGAGATCGAAACTCGAAGACATGGGGTCAAGATCTTGGGGATCCATGTCACGGGGCCCCAAGATGGAGCTTGGAGCCTCTGCACTGGGGTCCAGATCGCTGGAGATGGGCCCCAGATCTTCATAGCCGGGGTCCGCATCTTCGGAGACAGTGTTGAGGTCTTCCAGGTCAGGATCTGGGGCTTCCGTAACTGGGTCTAGCTCTCCGGGTTTGGGGTCCAGGTCCTCTGAGTCTGAGTCCAGTTCTTCGTAAGCAGGTCTCCGGCCTTTGTGGCCTGGGTTCCGGACCAGGACTGAGCGCCGCATCCCCGGTGTGGAAGTGCCAGCTGCTTCTGGGGCAGGATCTGCAGGGTGAGGACAGGGTGGGCAGAGGTAGGCTCTGGGGAGCAGGGGTCTCCTTTGGAGCCTGGGCAGGGATGAGACAAGTGGCCAAGCTGTGCCCCAGCACCCACTCCTGAAAAAGTACATGGACCCTTCTCTTGTCTCAGAGCACAGGGAGACCGGTCACTCACTCTGGCCAGGGCAGCGAGAAGAGAGACCCTGCTGGGACCTGGGGCGGGGACCCTCCCTTCTCAGCCCCACACCTGGACGGAAGTCATGGGATCTGGCACTAGAGGTCTCCAGTACCCAACTCCAGGGCTCTGCCCCTCTCTCCATCCTGGATTCCTCCGCCTGGGGGAAGCTTGGGTCCTGTGGAGAGAGAGTCCTACGTTCCTAACGATGGAAAGGGGTGGGGGTGGAGTGTCCGTGCTTGCCTCTTAGTGCATGGCCTGAATTCCTGTCCCCCAGTCAGGGGTGGGATATGCGGGGGTTCCTGGTTGGGAGGGGGCTCTCTGGCTTGACTCCTACAGAGAAAGCATCCTGAACTTAGAAGCCTGTATCTGGGGGGCAAGGGTGGGGGACCAATCACATCCGGTAGTGCTCTTGGGTCCCTGGCTTGCCTCCTGGGGAAGAGACCACCTGAATGCCAGGCCTCACAGTTCCAGGGTGGGAGTAACTGTCAGAACACCTGTGTTCCAGAATGTCGGCTCCAAATGTCAGAGCGAGAGGCAGGGAACATCAGGCAGGAGCTGGGGCAGGAGGACCCGCAGTCCCCACAGTTAGCCTACCTGTTGCCCAGTTGGAGAGAAGATCCTGAATTCTAACCCCTAGCTGGCGGCCCCTCTTGGGTGCCCCGGGGACCCTTGAGCCAACTCTTAGAAAGGGGAGATTCCTAAATGACCGACCCTCTGGCTGGGGTATGGGGAAGTGTGTCAGGAGGAAAGATCCTGAATTCCAGGCTGGAGTGGGCACAGGGGGTGAGGGTAGCGGTGCAGGGGGAGCTCAGCATTACTTGATGGGAGGTGATGCCTTAAGCTATCCACCCCATGGCTGGGCATTTCGGGCAAACAAATAAATCCTGGGGACAGGGGATTTGTCTGGGGAGGAAGACACCCTAAGCTGGTACCCATAGCTGGGGGTGGGCCAGCAGATGGAGGGGACTAAGTTCCTAGATCACCTCCTCTACCTAGAAGTCCAGGTTGGAGGGTGGGGGAACAATGCCGGGGTCCCCTCCTGAGGAAAGGGCTCCCAGGACTCTGGACGCCCCAGACTGGACAGTAAGAGGAACAATAACTGAGGTCCTGGCATAAAGAGGGAAGCCCTGGATCCCCCTCCTGAGAAAGAGCCTCCAGAACTCCCAACCCCCGGCTCAGGGCGGGGGGAAAACAATGCCTAGGGCCCCTCTGGAGGTCTGGGTCGCCTACGGAGGAGGGGGCGTCCTGAACTCCTGACCCCTCAGCTGAGGGGTGCCCCCATCCTTCCCTATCTAAGAAGACCCGCTCGGGCCGAGCCCTCCCCCGGGCCGCAGCGGCGGACTGGGCGCGCCAGGCCCGGGGGACGTTCGGTCGCTCGCTTCCCGCCGCACCTCGGTTCTCCAGGCACCGGGCAGGCGGCGCGCGCGGTGGGGAGCGCACGGAGGTCGCCAGGGCCGCGCCCCGCACCGGGGTTCCCCGCCCACCCCCACCCGGGTCCTTGTCCGCCGACCCGCTCGCGGGGACACTCACCCGACGCCCCTCGCCCCTGCCCGGCCCGCCGCACCCGCTGGCGCCCCAGGGGCCCGCAGCTAGGCCCCCGCCCGCCAGCCCCGCCGGCGGCCCCCTCGGCCCAGCGGCCCCGCCAAGCTCTCCCGGGGAGCGAGAGGGGCCGGCCGAGGGCCGCAGCGGGAGCTGCTGGGACTTGTAGTTCGCCCGCGCCCGCCGCGGCCTTCGCCATCGCCGCCCCCGCCCCCCGAGCCAGCCTTTGTCCCGACCCGACGGCCCCGACAGCGCGGCCACGCACTGGTCTGCGCCGCGCCCGGCCTGCGCGGCCCTCTCTGCCTGTCTCCCCTGCGTCCCTCTCTCTGCCCCTGCCTGCGTCTGTCCCTGACGCTGTCCCTCTCTGCCCGTCTCTGTCCCGCTCTCTGCGTCCCTGTCACCATCCTTTTGCCTTTGTATCTGTCCCTTTCTCTGTCTGGTTCTGTTTCCACCGCCTGCCCTCCAAAGTTTCCCACTCGGACTCTGTTGAAAACACACCGAGCGCTCTTTCTCCCAGACGGGCAGTGCGCACGGGCACAGTCAAGGCTGAGAAGCCCTGCAGTTCACAAACATCTTTCTCTTTGCTTCCCTTTAAGACTCCCCGAAGAAGAGGTGGGGATTCTGTCCCTGAGTGAATTCTGTCCCTCTTCCTACCCTGCTGTCCCCCCCCCCCGCCCCGCCCCGATCGCCTGACGCTCCCCGGAGCGAGGATCTCTGGGAGAATCCTGGCCGAGTCTGGGCCTCTGCAGACAGAGGCCTTGCGGGAGGGAGTGAAAACCAGCCCGCAGCTGGCCGCGGGGCCAGGACGCTCTCACGGAACATCAACAATGATGATGGTACAAGGCCGCTCTGTGGCCACGTGTGCGCCTAGCCCGAGACAAGGACACTGTGCAACCACAGAAACACACCCCCTCCCAACTAACCAAAATGACCGCTGCTTCCGTCCAGGGACAGCCCCACTTGGAGCTGAACAGCACCCACGGAAAAGTGCCTCCAGCCCCCAGCTCTCTCCTACAGAACTGCCCCTGCTGTGTGGTCTTCCCGGCTGGTGTGCTTCTACTGGTCTCTGCCTGGTGAATTTTGACACCACCTACCCTTGAATATAGATAGCCACGAGCAAATCAGGCCTCTAGGAGCTGCCTCTTATCCTTCCTGAAACTTGCAGATCTGTGCCGAACTTGTGGTCGGAGACCTGTTTTCCACGTCTTTGAGAAAAGCCTGCAGCAGACCTGCGAGCCCTGAGACTGCAGTTGGGTCCTGCGCTGGTTCTGCATCCTGCCAGCTCCCGGGTGACCCTGGTGCAAATAACACTGATAAGGACGCTGCTGTTTCTGTCACTCAGTGTCTCCGTCAGTGGGCCCCACTACTGCAGATGGATGCACATCTAACACAGCCCCCCAGTACCATGCCACCTACACTTTTCAGGGAGCCCTGTTCCCTGGCCACAACGATGGGGGGAAGGGTATGACTTCGGAGGGTCTCATTTTTCTTCTAGGATGATGAGCTCTTAAAGAGCCCCATGCTGCTTGCAACTACCCTCCTTACTGGTCTGCAGCCTCTTCCTGAAGACCAAAGTCAATTGGCTCCATGATGTGAAGGTGGGAGTTAAAGGAAGCGACTTGAAGCATGAGACTGGCAGAGCAGAGTGAGGTGCAGGTGCGGGGCCAGGGCCATCACATGCACATGCCCGCTGGGAGGCGAACGGGGTTCCCAGGGTTTGTGCAACGCGCGTCGGCTGCCCAGGACCCCTGGAGGAGTCCTTCTTGGGACACTGGACATCTCTGTTGTGTGGAAGGAAAAGAGCTGATTAAATTGTTGCCTGTTGTATCTTGGGACTCCAACCATGCGCCTGCTGAGACTGTGGCTTATGGGGCTTTGGGAAAAAAGTATTAGGATGTTGTAATATACGCAGAGATTAGTATCTACCCAGTACTCAGTTTTGTGAGGCTGCCAGAGCGGAGTCCTCTGCCCCCAGGCTGAAGAGGAAGTTACTCATCAGATAGGAGGTAAAGTTGGGATTGTGAGAGAAAGGGGCATCCCTGAGGCCCCAGGCCACTCACTCTCCCACACCGACCACTCCCTGCCTGGAAAGGAAGCAGTCGCCCTCACAGGGAAGAGCCTGCTAGCTGTCTTTCCACCTTCCAGACTGTGTGACCTGGGGCAAGGCATCTGAAGGGGACAGGCTGACACAGGTCTGTTGCTGCAGAGAGAATCCACCAGGCTGGGCTCCCGACTTGAAAAGCCTCCCATGGCCTGGAATTTGGACCCCAGCAGCCCGTCCCTCTGGGTACCGTGCGTACGATTCCAATAAACCAGAGTGTCCCTTCAATTCCAATAACAGTTGGCACAGGGAGATGCACCTCTTTCCTTCGGGGCTTCAAATCTAAGGATTTGAGGTGCCAGCCTCCTTTTCTTTGCCACCCTTTGGAGGATTATTAGATTGTGAGGGGCCCTGATGTGGAACCAGCACGCCTGGCGGTTAGACCTAAGTGCAGACTTTGGGGGTCCTAAGTCAGTAAAATCTCTTTCTCTTGAGCAAAAGTTGGGTTTGTCACTTGCAACAAAAATGACTAAGACAGTAACAAAGTTTAGGCACCATTTACTGAGCTGCAGCCGAGTGCTAGGCCCCAGCCTGAGCACGTTCCTGCTTGCTGCACTTAACCCTCGTCACTGCTCTGAGCCTGAGGGCTCGTTTCCCTGAGGAGGGACATGACAGCCAGCACAGGGTCACTTGTTCAAGCGGGGTGATACAGTATGTGACAGGTCTGGATTCTGCTGCTGGACAATTCTTATATCGCCAAAGCTGTTTTCCTGTAACATTCAATCCTATTCATCTTATTTCATAAGCCTTTTTGGTTTTTGTATTTCACAGAAAATGCCTTTTTTTAGAAGGGGAGTGGGACGTAGGAGGGATGGACATAAAGATAATCCAGAATCAGCTCTGGCTGGTGTAGTTCAGTGGATTGAGCGCAGGCCTGTGAACCAAAGGGTTGCCGATCTGATTCCTGATCTGGGGCACATGAGTGCATTGCAGGCCAGGCCCCAGTAGGCAACCACACATTGATGTTTCTCTCCCTTTTTCCTTCCCTTCCCCTCTCTCTAAAAATAAACAAAACCTTAAAAAGAAAAAAAAAAAACATCCAGAATCATGATACTGTGCCTTCCCGTACTGGTTAAATAGTTCTGGTAAGGCTTCTCTCCTCCCTGGCAACCATCCTGGGGCTGGTCAGTTTCACCATTAGAAAATGCTTCAAGTTTTACTGAAATCTGCCTTCTTGTAACTCTCACCCATTGTTTCTCACCTGGGGTCTGGGTTACTTTAAACCACGCCTAGAACCTGGCAGGAGCACAGACATTCCTGCAACTGGAACTACATGGAACCAAACACCAAAGCCAGCTTTCTGAGCTTTCTGGCAGGCAAGGTGAAAAAGAAAAGCCTTTGGATTGAGTAATATGGTCAATAAGCAGACCAGCTTATCAGGAGCACCTGGTTTTGTCCTGGGAATCCTCGTAGGCTGGTTTTGTTGCAGTGGTTCCCCACCAGGGCAATCCCCTCTCCCTGGGCACGTGTAGCAATGTCTGGAGATCTTTTGGGTTGTCACAGCTGGGTGGGGGAGAGGAAGGGTGTTGATGACGTGTCATGGTTGAAGGTCATGGATGATGCTAAATGCCCTGCCAAGCACAGCACGGCCTCCGACAACAAAGAACGATCTCAATTAAAATGTCAGTAGAGAGTGCTGAGACTGAGGAGCCCCGGGTCACGGTGCAGCGATCCGGAAGAGGGCCGCGGAGAGCTTTCGTGGGGCAAACAGAAGAGGTTCTCTGCAGCTGGGGCCCCCCCATGGTCAGTGTGGACAAGGGAGTGCAGCCGGAAAGGCCCTCCTGTCGCACTAGGACTGAAAGCCGAACTGCTGTCCTTTCCATTGAAATGACAGGCTGGTCTCCCAGAATTGCTGCCCATGGGGAAAGGACTCCTGGCCAGGCTTGGGGTGGGCTTCTAGTGGCCCATGGGACTGAGACTTTGCCTTTGGAAGATTCGACTACGGAGTCAGGGAGTCATACTTGTTTTCTGAAACTGATTCTCAACAGCCTGCAGAGGCAGGCCCTGGGTATGGCCACCGAGACCCATCTCGTCCCATGTGGAACCTGCTTCCCGGTGTTCTCACCGCACCCCAGACCTGCAAGGTCAGGTGCTATCCGAGGTCCTGGTCCCTTACAGGCTTGCTGACTGGGTCACCTGCGGGCTTCAGAGTCCCACCCCATCCTCGGCTTTTCCACCCTTTTCATACTGTTGCTGGTGGGACACCGGTCCCCTTGAGCCTCATTGTGTCCTGGAGGATTTCATCAGTTGTGATGTGGGGGCCATCGCCCAGCCACTCAGCATGGCAATCATCCCCCAGCCTCTGCGCACAACAGAGGTGACTGTCAGATGTTCTCAGCACATTGACCCTTTCGTGTTCCCCGTGAGCCCCACCCAGTCTCTCTCTCTCTGTTTTTGAAGATTCTGGCCTGGCTGGTGCAGCTCAGTGGACTGAGTGCCGCCTGCGAACTAAAGGGTTGCCAGTTCACTTCCGGGTCAGGGCACGTGCCCAGCTTGCGGACCAGGTCCCTAGTAAGAGGTGTTCCAGAGGCATGGATGTCTCTCCCCCTCACTTTCTCCTTTCCTTCCCCTCTCTAAAAATAAATAAAATCTTTAAAAGAATAAAAGGTTGTACTTGTTGTAGAGAGAGGGGAAGATAGAGAAACCTCAATGTGTAAGAGAAACATCAATCCATTGCCTTTTACACACGCCCCAACTGGGGACCAGGCCCACAACTCAGGCATGTGCCCTGACTGGGAATCGAACCAGTGACCTTTGGCTTTGCAGGACAATGCCCAACCCACTGAGCCACGCCAGCTGGGGCCCATCCGGTCCTTTAATGGCAGCACTCTCCTCACACCTTCATCTTCCTCTTCCCTCCTGACTGTCTTTGGGTGGTTAGCTCTCTCCCGGCTTGACCCCCGGCCACATGGTGATGTGTGCCCACTTCTCACGTCCAACATTCGGTGAGAGAGCTGTTGTTTGTCTCCATTGTACAGGTGAGCAAACAGAGGCTAGAGGGCTTTGTGACTTGCCCAAGGCTGCTGTGCGGGATGCGGAGGACTCAGGATTTGGATTCTGTGTACTTAGCCCCAAAACTTGCACCCCCAGTGTTTCACTTCACTGCCCCTCCACGTCATTCAGAAACTGTCAGGGCAACTGAATACCTGACACGGGCTCTGGCTGCCAACTGTACGAGTTCCAGTGACCTCCTTGCCCAGAGTGGGGCAGCCTCCAGCGTCTCTGGTGGAGTCCTTCCCTCCTGCACAGCCCCCACTCGCCCAAGCATCCTTTTTCATGGCTGACTGATGGAGAGGGGTGGGATGTTGCCAAGGTGGTGTTTATTGCTGTTGAGGGCAGGGGTAGGCAGGGACCTGGGGGTCCTGAGGGCTGACCTTCCCACCCCCGCAGCCCCACTGGTGCAGGGAGCCCAGGGGCACGTGGCTGTCCTGGAAGCTGCCCGACCTCAGCACTGCTGGGCCTTGGTACTTGAAGGGGAAGTCATCCTCGTGTTGGGTTGAGAAGAAGCGCTGTCTGCCCAGTGGTGGCTCCACATGGCTA